ACCAATTTTCATTGCCCTTGCCAGCTGGTCCGCGTCGGCGCTCACCTAAAAGGGTCGCTGGCAGGCGCTCGGGAGCGGCAGAGCCCTAAACTCCCAAAACCTGCTCCCTGAAGGTGGCTGCTGGGGTACCCCTCAAGGTTAGGCTATGTTGTTGAACTTAAAACCCTGCCCCCGAAACCCTACACCCCAAACCGGGGCGCCCCCTTTTTCCCTGGCACCATAGACTCCGTGTATCTCCTCCATGCGCTTGGCCTCCGCGAAGAAGCCCGACACCACCTCAGGCGGCTCGGAGCTTGTGAAGGCCTTGGGGCCTCTTTCTGTGCATGTGGGAGTTTCCAAAACTAGGGTACCTTCTTGGGGTCCTTCTTATATGGGAATCCTACGGTGGAACTTTGTGTTAAGAAATTTTATGAAGCAAGAAATTAGACTCTCGAATTGAGAAAAAATAATTATATTCAGAGTCTGAATCGCAACCCAAACGTAATTACAAATTGAATGGCCTTTTTGCAAGGCTCCAGCCCTCCAGCCCTCCAGCCCTCCACAGCCCTCCACAGCCCTCCACAGCCCTCCACAGCCCTCCACACCCTCCACAGCCCTCCAGTCCTTGAGCCCTCCAGCCCTCCAGCCCTCCAGCCCTCCAGCCCTCCAGCCCTCCAGCCCTCCAGCCCTCCAGCCCTCCAGCCCTCCAGCCCTCCAGCCCTCCAGCCCTCCAGCCCTCCAGCCCTCCAGCCCTCCAGCCCTCCAGCCCTCCAGCCCTCCAGCCCTCCCCCCCAGGATTAAGCCCTCCAGCCTCCAGCCCTCCAGCCCTCCAGCCCCCCAGCCCTCCAGCCCTCCAGCCCTCCAGCCCTCCAGCCCTCCAGCCCTCCAGCCCTCCAGCCCTCCAGCCCTCCAGCCCTCCAGCCCTCCACCCCTCCACCCCTCCACCCCTCCACCCCTCCAGCCCTCCAGCCCTCCAGCCCTCCAGCCCTCCAGCCCTCCAGCCCTCCAGCCCTCCAGCCCTCCAGCCCTCCAGCCCCTGAACTCGAAGACGTCGCTCACCTGGAGGGCTGGAGGGCTGGAGGGCTGGAGGGCTGGAGGGCTGGAGGGCTGGAGAGCTGGAGGGCTGGAGGGCTGGAGGGCTGGAGGGCTGGAGGGCTGGAGGGCGGGAGAAAGCAAAGGGTTGGTCAGGTTGAATAAGAAATGTTTTCAAGACTCTCGCCTCAAATCTACCTTTCTTAATACATCTGCCTGGTTAAGAAATGTCCCAGACTCTGGTGGACCTTCGAACCTTTCTTATCATAAGTTTTGACCGTAGTATATAGTATATAGTATACAATGTATAATGTATAATATATAATATATAATATATAATATATAATATATAATATATAATATATAATATATAATATATAATATATAATATATAATATATAATATATGATATATAATATTTAATATATCATATATAATATATAATATTTCATATATAATATATAATACATAATACATAATTTATAAAACACAAAACCAGTATACAATATACAGAAAATAAATCTTTAATTCAGAAAAAAAAAATTCAACTTCGAAAAAATACTATATAATAAAAAATTATAAGATAGAAATAAAATTTGAAAAATATACTGCATAATATACAATATATAAATATTATATATATTTTATAATATATAATAGATAATATATAATATATAGTATATAGATATATTTTATATTATATTATATATTCTATAGAAAAATATACAATATAACATATATATATGTTTATATTTTTTGTATAATACATGGAGTATATTATATGAAATATGTAATGTGTAATTTGTCATATGTGAGATACATATATATTTTTTTTCATACATACAGACATCCATGCATGCATACATGCATACATACATCCATCATTTACTTTTACACACCCGTTGACTTTCAGAATGGTGTGTGCAAATGCATGCATAAGGATCGAAAGCCCTTCCCACCACCGGGCCACCACAGGACCACCACCATGGACCACCACCACCGCTACCACCACACCACACCACCACTACGGGCCTTGGAAGTGCATAGTGCAGAGGTCAGCTCTGTTTTCCTGCGTTGCCACGTTTTTAAAGTGTTTCGCATTTGTTTGGAGCTGTGCAAGCACCTTGAGTGGCACTTAAGTTGTGCGAGCTGTCTGCGACTGTGTGGCTTCGTTTTGGGAGTGTTTAAAGCCCAGAGTTTGCGAAAGCGAGGGCTTGTGAGCTGTGTGACGTGAAGGGTGACTTGCACTTGGTGCTTTGGAACACGAGTGAGTTGCTTGTCTTGTGCGTGACTTTGGTCTTTCACGTCAAGAGTTGTTGGAGCGTGAATGCTGCGCAATTTAGAATGCCAAAAAAACGGCTGCAGCTGGCATGTGTTTCTGGGCTTGGGCAGATTAATGCAGTGCTGCCGTCAAGTCACGGGGCTTCATGCGCATTACTGTACAGTACAGCAGTCCAGCAGACTAGCTGAAGATCAGCTGAAGATCACATTCCACAGTTCAGCGTGCAAGCAATAGCAGTTGGAAGCCTGCCACGCGCAGTAATTCAGTGCAAGTAACAGCGCAGCACAGTACAGTAGAGTGGCCTTTGTCCAAGTTGTCACAAAAATTTTGCTGGCTTTTCTCCTTTTCAAACAGTATTGTCTGAACTGGCTTTCTTTTCTTTGAACAGTATCCACAGCACGGTTTGTACTCCAGCAGTACAGTGGTCTTTCTTCCTTTGCCCTCTTCCCTGTTCCTCTTCTGCGTTATCCCCTTGTCTTCTCCTCTCGGCTCTTCTCTTTCCAAGGGTTGTTGGGGTGGCGTGAGGTAATTTAGAACGCCCAACAACGGCAAGAGACGCAATCAGCAGATGTTCTGTTTCTGTTGGGTCAGAACTGACGCGGGGGGCAGAATCAGGAAATAACCAGAATATCAACATAGAATTTGTTTTCTAATTTTAGAAAGAAGTACGTTTATGAAACATCGCTGGGACAGGTTTCTTAAGCGTAGGATCCCGTTGCCCTGTGGCAGGTCTTACAAGGGAAGCACGGTCCCGAATAAAGAGCAACCCAGTCTTCCGTTATGCTCGTTTTGCTTTTCTTCCTTTTTGAATGTGGAGAGTCCAGAATCTCCCCCATGTCATGCAGCACAAGAGCTTAAAACGTTTTTTAATAGCCTTTTCCACCATCCCCCCCCAATGGACGGGGTGGGGGGGCAAGTTGTTCAATGCAGCATTTTTCGTATGGTTCTACCATCGATATGGAGCTGGTGGTTAAAACGGGTCAAGGGTTGTTAGGGTGCACATGCCACAACCCAAAGCCCTAGATCCGTCTGGGTTTTCTGTTAGAGTTTCAGGCTGAGGGTGTTAGGGTTGAGTGGTGGTTAAAATGGGAAGAGTGGTCGTTGGGTGTGAGGGGGGGTCAGAAGTGGTTTGTTTCTGGGGTAGGTTGATTTGGGAGTGGTCAAATTGGCGGGTCGATTTCAAGAATACTGAAGGTTTTTTCAGTTGAATGCCCTCAAAATCAAACACAGAATGGAAAACAGCAATAATGTTGATTTAGTTTTACATTTTATTTCATGTCATACAGTAAAATTATCATATCATGTAATTTCGCCGGATTGTGAGGCACATATGCTAACTGCAATTGTTTTATTGATACTCCCTGCAATTTTGCTATTTTCAGGTGCCCATCTTTGTATCGAGGATCACATCTGCTAGCGCGGTCAAAACGTCGATTTGTGGAGGCACGCAAAAGCTGACTGCACTTGTTTTATTGATATTCCCTGCATTTTTGCTGTTTTTAGGTGCCCATCATTGCATCGAGGATCACAAAGGATAACTGCCTCTTGCATTTGCTAAGAGCCAGTTCACTTCTCGTTAAAAGTTCCGGCATGAGCTTGAAGGGGTCCAATATGTGTCTAGGTGGGCCTCAGCTCCAAAGAAGGGCATGGGGTCCCGAGCAGTCCTAGCGTGTCCGCAAACACACTAAACAATACGTACAGACTTAGACATCCTTTCGGCTTCCGCAGAGTGTCAGTTTAGGAGCCGTGGGTTGGCACAGGTTGATGTTCCTTATTTCCGTAGACTCCACGTTTGATGCTGCTAGCAGGCGTCCCAGCGCGCCACACGCATGTAAGTGACAAGAGGACGGGGCTAAGCGGCTTGAAACTTCGTCAAAGACGCCGGAGAGTGCGTTCTGCCTCTGCTTTTTGTCGTGGCTCAGAGATGACGTGCCTTCCTGGGCTGAATCTAGTGAGGTCCCGGAGTCCCGGCCATTCGGTGATTCGGTGAGATGCAAACGGCTGGGTGGTACACTTTGGTGGTACTGGTACTGTGACTCTGCGCGGTTCGATTTGCAGGGTCCAGCTCTGCTTTCTGTTTCTTCCCAGAAGTCTTGTGTTGACTGTCCTCTATCTCCACTCTATCCATGGTTGTTTTCGGGCGGCTCCTATGTTTTCGCCCAAGCACGCGACAGCGAAAAGATCGTTTCATAACTTGTTTTCATATTTGGATTTTGGAATAAAAAGTATTTCTCAGGCTGAAGGCTTTGATGGGGGTCCCCTGATGTCCCTAATTAACAAAACCCCCGCGCACGGTCCGCACTTCCGTACAAGAATGAACACGTTGGGCGTGGGGTGCGGGGAGGAGGATTAGGTGGTGGGAACTTCTGAGACAGCATTAGTCTTTAGGCACCAGGCTTCGGCGGATTACACGGCAGAAACTTCAAAGGATCTGCGCGGCATGCAACTTGGTTTCTCGGCGGTGGCGCTAGCACCAGCAGCGGAACAAAACACTTTGGAAGGCGGTCTGTGAGGCACCCCGCCCGCCTAGGGAGGTCTTCGTGGGGTCCCAAGCGCGACGACCGCTCAGCATGCCATAGCTGGTTGGACGGTGCGTTTTGTGCCACAGATTGCGGAATTAGCCTTCAAACGTTTTCGTGTCAGACGAATTGGCTGCTCCTGTTCGCAGACCTTTGGCTTTTCCAGTGCGTTCCACATAGATTCAAACATGCAGCGCAAAGAGAAGCGAGGAGTCTGCGTTTTGAGGTTCTTTTGGCTTTGCCCGCAGGTGGTGTAAGCAGAGCAAGCTTCTCACATCGGGACAGGTTGTGGTTCTTTTGTGACAACAGTTCATGATGACGTGAACCGTTTTTGTTGAGTTTTCGGATTCTAGTGGCATTGCAAAACATACTTGTGCTGGGATGTGTCCCTTGAAGGTCAAGAGTCAAAATTGTCTGACACGCGCTGACATGCATCGGTTGTACGTGCGAAGGAGTGTCTCTGCTGCTGCTGCTGCTGCTGGTTGCCGGCTGCATTGTTGTCCGGCAGCTGGCGGGCCGAACCTCATCTTGACACGAGAAGTATTCTACACAAGTTGCACAACCCACGTTAAGGGCGCCGAGCTAAAGCCACAAGCGCTTGGTAAGTCGTCTTCATTTCGACATCTGATCATGCCTCATGTGTTTTTAGTTGTTGTGGTGTCGTCTTCAGATCAAAAAAGCAAAAAACACGTCAAGGCAAACTTCCCGCATGTCCGAAGATGCTTCTCGTGGTCTGTTTTTCAAGCAGCAACACGTCACCAAGGATGTGGGCAACCAGCGTTTGTGCCACCTGCAGAGCAGCCCCAAATCAGGACGCGGGCAGTCGTTGCATGGTCTCGCTTTGTTATTGTGAGAGATTGTTGAAGGAATCCAGCGGACAAATGGTGCAGGGTTTGGGCTAATTACTGTATTTGCATGTGAAAGGACGCCGGGTGTGCATTCACCGAATCTGCCACAGCTGGTTCCTCAGTTTTGGATCGGTGAGAAGAAGAAGTTCGATGAGTGGACTAAACCATGAGGGCCTCAAGGAACTGGATCTTGCGCGGGGACTAGTTTCGTTCTGCGAGGAGGGATCATGTGCGCATCAGTTCCGATTATGTTCGCGTGTTCCTCCAAGTTGCTGCTCCCCGTCAACCAAGGTCTGCGGTTGCACTCGCTGGCCTTGCTCCACTAATGCTGGCACCGGAAGCTAGCGTCCGCACCTTACAACTGACGACCTTCAAGATGTTGTTTTTGCCCTTTCATACTTGAAGTTGCTGTAACTAGTTTGATGTCCGAGGTGGCGCAAGGCTGGGAATCCGCCGCGGTCATGTTGCCGCTCGAGTTGATCAACACAGGCGCATGGACGGCACAAAACACGTCGGTAGACATGTGCTCCTCATCATGGACAAACCGACGGGCAAACCAGTGCAGGCTTGAACCTCTTCAAGACTGCTCTTGGCATCTATGCTCTCATGAGCAGCGCGATCGCATTCGGTCTGCGGGTCAGTGGGTAGGAGGCGCTTCCCGACCGCTCGGGCGGGTCTTAAACCCTACGCGCCAAAGCTGCCTTCTGCAGTCTGCAGCATTCTACAGCCCAGGCTGGCTCTATGCCTTTGGCATCATTGACATGCGAAACGCGACGAGCTCAGCGCCGAAGAGGGTTGGGGTTGAGGGTTTGAGGGGCTTCGGGTCTTGGCCCGTGGCTTTTGCAGGGGGTTGTGAATCCCCTGCCTATGCCGACCTTCCGCGGAACCAGAAACATGCGATGTTGGGTAGAAACTCCAACGCCTGCGGTCTGTTAAAAGCCTTGAGAGGACATTTAGGATAATCCCCTTTATGTTAACAGTCCTTAATACGTAGGGATTATAATACCCCCTATTATAATCTCTGTTAAGGACTGTTAGTATAAGGGGGGGAACATCCCAAGAGGACATCGTCATGAAGGTGCAGGGGGCACTGTCCTCTGTCATCGATCCGGTGCTGAATCCACTTCGGAGCGTGATCCCTCCGCCTCTCGGCCCGAAAGGCTTAGCGGCTTAGCGGCTTAGCGTTTGGGGCTCGGGTTGAAAGATGCAGAGCATACATCTTACACACATATATATATGTGCATATGCATATGCATATGCATATGGATATGGATATGGATATGGATGTGTATATGTATATGTATATGTATATGTATATGCATATGTATATGTATACGTATAGGTATATGTATATGTATATGTATATGTATATGTATATGTATATGTTTTTTTGATATCCGTTTTCATATATCTGCGCGTAGTGGCGTAGTGGAGAGGTTCGATGATGTGCGTAAGCTTCTCAGAGCTTTGCGGTTTGGGGGGTCCAGGGCGGTTGGAGGGAAGCTTCAGATTTTGAAGGCTTCAGGGGTTAGGGGCGGTTGTGGGGTGTCATCATCACCATCCTCATCATCATCAGTATCATTATCGTTACGGTTATCGTTCATTCTCGTGACATTGTTTTTGGGTGTTCTAGGTCTAAACATGATGAAGCTCTCGAGGCTTTGGTGTCTGGGGCCTGAGATTTGAGTGCCTGAAGGCATCGTAAGAGGCTTCGAGGGCTTTGGTTTTGGACTGCTCGGCAGTAAGGCTTCCAGCGTGTGTAGGAATCTAAAGGGGCTAGCCGTCAACCCTACACCCCTAAACCCTTAGCCCTCAACCCTTAACTCTCAGCCCTAAACCCTAAACTTATACCTCTCTTTGAAGTTAAGGCTTGGTGGCTTCGACATCTCCTTCATGATTTTGTGGCCTTGGCCTCAGAAAGGTGGCCAGTGTGCGGCCAAGAGCCCTAAACCTGGAGTTTAGGTTTCGGGTTTCGGGTTGAGGGTTTAGGGTCTAGGGTTTCGGGTCTAGGGTTTAGGGTTTAAGGTCCTGGCGTGCTCAGGTTCGTGATCGAACAGGCGCAGGCTGCTGCCGTGACCATTATGTTCGGAGACCGGGCAGCAGTTCACCCTGTGTAACAGAGCTCGTGCGGAGCTGGGCCCTTGAACGAACTGTCGAGTGCATAGATGTGGAACAGCCTCTAACTAAATCTTTCTTGGGCCTGGACAAGGCGTTTTGAACTTGTGTTACAAGGAGCTGCCACCTACGGCAACTACTACTACTGAGCCGTCGGGGTTCCCGTGGAACTGGAGCTGGATGATTGGGCGTCTGGTGTGACTCTGAGCACCCGGCTGCTTGAGTTTGAGCTGTCCGACGCAAGAGAGAACAAACAGCAAAAGGGTTTAGGGTTAAGAGTTTAGGGTTTAGGGTTTTGGGTACGCAACTCCGCAATGGCATGACCTCATCGGCCAGCAGGCTCTGCATTGTTTGCAGGTTTCTAGAGCAACTCCCTTGGGCCAGCTGCGCTGGTCCAAGCTCCTCTGGCGGTACCAAGAGTGGTGCCCCCAAGCAACTCTTTTAAGGAGCGTTTTCCAATTCAAAAGTCGGCACAGAACCGGAATTCAAGGATGGACAGACGCACGGAAGCTTTTCGGCATGTGCCCCCCGAGAAAACTTCCCAGAAGCACCTGGAGTAATGCGCTGCACTTCTTGCGTTCCGCACGGCATGACTTGGCGCTGACACCCAATCTGCTCTCTGAAGCATCGGGTGCTTGGGATGGATTTGTCGGATTTCCTCTCTCCGTGGGGTGGCAGCTGCTCAATCGATATGGCTGTCAGCAGTGTGAGAACATCGGTTTTATTTATATTTTTTGTTAGTCGTCCTTGCTGTAGCTGCTGTTAGCCTTATCCTAACTTCCTGTGGTTCCCATTCCGTTACCCACTAGCCACCCCAGACTCGACATTTCAACCCCTGCAGCTCGGGAGCCGCCAACCCTCTCCAACGCGAACCTCAGCACCGACAAGGGTAGGCTTTGGGGGTTTAAGGGCCGGTTTAGGGCTTAGGATAGTGTAGGGTGCGATCGGCACTTTTGCTTTTGTGCCGCCATGGTGTTGCTGGAGGCGCGGACAGCCGGATCTGATCCCGGCTCCGGGCCATCTAACTTCCCTAAATGCAGCCCAGAAGACCTGCGTGCTTTTCTCTAAATTTTGTGGGGAGGCTCCTGGATTAGTGTGGCAGCGTATCTGCAACCCTACTTGGAGGTTCATGGTACTTATTCGCCAACTATAACTGGACTTCTAACAGTACTTATAACCATATTAGGGCACTTAAGGGGCTTATAAGTGGGTTAGAAGCACAGTGTTAATTGGTTCATAAGTACCATGAACCTCAAAGCAGCTGGGCTCCCTGGGCCAGGCTTTTGGTCTGGCATCCGCAGAAATCTTCCAGTACAACCGACGCCCGGCGAAGCATTGCTGGGGTGCTACACGAGAAACGCATCAGAGTCTCCTGTTTAGTAGTTTTAGGAACTTTGTAGAGAGCCACCTTCACCTCGCTCTTTCTCTTCTGGGGCAGCTCGATCCGAAACTCCGCGGCTCGTTCGCTTGTGCGCTTGATGGGCAGAAGCCCAAGTGTCCAGGCGAGAATTTTCTCGTCGGAGCCCCTGTCAGGCATCCATTGCATTCTGTCTAACCCTAAACCCTAAACCCTAAAATCTCATCGACGAATCCTCGAGAGTCCTTGTGTAGTAAGCCTTGCTGCCGCAGCGCGAGCTTTCTATTGGCTTGGTATACTGTAGTCCTTTGGGATGTTTCCCCTTGTACGATCAGTCCTTAATAGGGACTCTAGTACCCCTGTGACAATCCCTATTAAGGACTGTTAGGAACAGGGGGAACATCCCAAGTAGTCCTGAAGGTGTATAGCAGTGATCTCTACGTGGTCCAATATCTATAGTGTATTCTTTTTCGCTTAGGAAGAGAACGCTTTCCATGATCAGGATATCTCCCTGTCGAGAAAACTCCTGAATGAAGGGGTTTTGGGCTCTCGGGGTATGGCTGCAACCCTAAACCCTAAACCCTAAACCCTAAACCCTAAACCCTGAAAATGAGCAGCGCCTGCTCAGGAGAGAACTTCCAGTTCGACAATGAGCAGCGCATCAGCAAAGACGTGCCTGGCACCAGCAAAGCAAAGGGGAACACTCGGCCACAAAGAAAGCCTCAAGATCGCCCCTCAATGCCCCCGAAACCCTTTAAAGGGTTTAGGGTTTTTAGGGTTTAGGGTTACCCTGTAAAAAAAGGCTTTATAGGGAACCCCTAAGCCTCAATGGCACCCCCAGGAAGCCCGAAGAAGTCTGTCAAAAAGGGGAATCCTGAATCCCGTCGTTTCGACAACATCTCGAGTGTCCTCAAGGGATTAAGATGCCCCGAAGGTTGTACCCCTAAAGCTTACCCTTAATTTACTCCAAATATTTCCCTTATTCTACCTTAAGGATCTTTATACAGGGTCCGGGAAATTCAATGGTACAACCTTGAGGGTCCAAGGTGCAACCCCTAGATGTCCCAGGTGCAGAAGTACAAGATGCAGGTGGAGCGCTTCGAGTTGCGGCTGGGCTGCCGATGTAGACAGAGAACCTGAGACCCCTTGAGTTTAGGGAAGATCACTTCAGTCATCTCAAGGGGTTCTCACAGGGGGTTGAGGGATCTTTCTCTCCGGGGTATTTTTTGGGCTTTTTGGGTATCCAAAACCTAAACCGTCCTAAGCCATCCTGTACTGTCCTACACGAACCCTAAACCCTAAACCCTCAAGTTCTACCTGGAAGCCCTTGAGACCTATCTCCTTAGTAAGTAGGGTTAGTATGTTGCGTTCTGCGGAGATTATCGGATGCTACGTAGACTTGCGACAGTCATGTTTGAGAGCTTCCAAGCAAGCCCTCTGTGAGGCCCTAAACCCTGAACCCTGAACCCTAAACCCTAAACCCTAAACCCTAAACCCTAAACCCTAAACCCTACACCCTACACCCTAAACCCTAAACCCTAAGCTTTAACCCCTAACCCCTGAACCCTAAAAGTTGTCTTTTGTCGCGTCTTCCAGGTTCCGGGAGGACATCGAGGACCTGGTCAAGCTTACGGTGGACAAGATGGAGCCCGGGCTTTCTTTCGGTTTCGGCGTCTCCGGGGGGGAGGGGGGTGTTAGGGTTCAGGGTTTAGGGTTTAGGGTTTAGGATTTAGGGTTTAGGGTTTAGGGTTGTAGAGTTTCTTGTGCCCAAAGAGCCCCATGCCTTAAGCCCTCAACCCTAAACGATTTCAGGTCTCCTCCTCACGTCTCCAAGCTTCGGACTTGGGACTTGGAGGTTCATGGTACTTACTAACCACTTCTAAGTGTACTTATAACCCTACTTATAATTCCTCAAAGGGCCTTATGGAGGTTCTCCCAATTATAAGTAGGGTTATAAGCCCAGTTATATTCGGTTAGTAAGTACCATGAACCTCCAAGTAGGGGTTCAAAGCTGTTTACTATAGGGTGTACCTCTGAGTGGCATCATGCGTGAGTACTGTGGCACTTCCTGAGCTTACGTTTTCAACCTCAGATCAAGTTCTGAACGTTTCAGGCTCGGGAGGGGGTTGAGAAGTTGACGGCTCTTGGAGGGATCGTTGAGCCTCGGGTTTAATGGTTCAGTACACATGTCGATCGTAACAAAACGACATTCTATTGGAAGTACAGTCTTTTACAGGAATACCATATATAGTTCATTTCACTTTATCAAAATACACACGCTTTATCATGCGATTATACACGTAGTATGTCATCATAAAATGGGGGTTTACGATCTTTGGGGTACCCCATGAAAGGTCCTAATCCTACTACTTGGGGCCGATACTAGGGGTCCCTCATTTTCGTAATCCTAGTTTCTAAGCCCTATACCCTAGACCCTATGTTCGTAAACCCCCAGGTGTTAGGGGCCTCCTATTTTCGCATATTCCCCACATAGAGGGGGTTTCGTATAAGGACATGTACCACCTGGTCTCAGCCGTGGTGCTGGGCTTCACCACCAGCGTCTTCACGGAGGAGAGCTACCCGCGGTGTGTTTTTGGCGTTTCCCCCGTGGTTCTTCGTGTGCTTCTTAGAAGGGAATGGGGGAATGAGGGCCCTGTGATTCTATAGGGTACTCATTCATTCCCTACTAAGAACCGGCCTGGTTTGGGTGGCCGGTATCTGACTTGGGGCTTGAAAGGTTGTCGACCCATGTTGAAGTTGAAGTAGTCTCTTGTATCATTCACTATGCCATCCTCGCCTATGAGCATCGTTTCAACATGGCTGGTTGATGTGGATGTTTGGATGTCCATGTGGATTCTTATGGTATCTTATGTTCGTATCTGGGTGATGCTCGCCAGCTGCTTGCTGTGAGCCTACATCGCCTTCATTGCCGGTAAGGGACTTCGGAAGAAGCTCTACTATCACAAGGGAAGCATGTCATGAAATGGATCTTCATGTTTTGACGTAACTGAGTTTGAGCTCCAAAGCACTACAGAGCCCTGAAACTTTACGCAAGCCCCTAAGTATGCCAACTTCACTGAACTCCGCTCACCAAGTAATGTACCAGATGTGGGATGTCCCCCCTTAAACTAAGAGTCTTGAGTAGGGACCATAATTGGGGGTACTAGAATCCCTATGAAGGACTGTTAGTAGAAGGGGGGAACATCCCAATACCAGATTGTGTATTGGAGCGACGTGGCAGGGCCGCATCTGGGGCGAGACGCCCCCGAGCTACATCGCCGTCTACTTCATGACTGTAGGCAGGGTTAGGGTATAGGGTTTAGGGTTTAGGATTTAGGGTTTAGGGTTTAGGGTTTAGGGTTTAGGGTTTAGGGCAGGGCTGCCTTGATTCGGGCCTTCAGATCTGATCGAAGTGGGGCTCGGCTTGTAGGAAGCTGCATCCCACACCCGAAGCTCATCCCGCGCCGCAAGCCTCAGAAGTGCGTGTGGCTGTGTCAGGCTCCGGCTGGCTGTATCTGCTGATGACCGTTTGGTTGAGCATGTGCGCCGACCAGGGGAGCACGATCACCCTAGGGCCTATAGGCGATGAGGGTGAGCATGGACCGACTGATTGCTTGCAAGCATATGTGCTTAGGGGGTTTAGGGTTTAGGATTTAAGGGTTTAGGGTTTAGGGTTTAATGCTTAGGGTTTAGGGTTTGGAGAGAGTATCCGCTCCGGTTTCTTGAGGTACGCCTCGATCTCCTCCCACAGCCTCGGCGTGCGCCTCCGCACACGATACGTGCGGCTGCCCATCCCGAGCCTTCAGCAGCCCCTCGGCCCAGGGACATGAAAGCTGCCACAGGTGAAGGGATTTGCCTGGATGCTACCCTAAACCCGAAACCCCAAACCCCAAACCCTAAACCCTAAACAAAGTTGGTTGCTGGAAGTGAGCCCGTAGCTCGCATGTAATCTGCACAAACAAGGCACCTTCTGATTGACATGGGTCCTTGTGACCCTCAGAGACGTGGGTACTTCTGATGCCCCCCACAGCTCTGCGGTGGAGGCTCTACGGAATCTCCTCCTCCTTGCAAGACTTCGAGCAGCAGGGTATGCAGAAGGCGCAGCAGGGTATTCCGAAAAAGGAGGTGGCCCCCCGAAGATCTTCCCCCGGAACACGATAAGCAATATTTTATGGGCACCTGCCACAGAGTGCATGTTCACGAGCCGAGGGAAAGTGCGCCCGGAACCCCACAACAACCCCGAAGTCCCCTTACAGTTCCCGAAATCCACTTCCCTGGCCCTGGCAGATGTTCCGCCTGCCCTTCGGGCCGCAGGGCACGCCGCAGTGGGACCGGATGAACCGCGCGGGCCTTCTCTGGCGTCAAGCTTTTCCCAGAGGGTCCAATACCTCGTAATTCAGGTACATACCTTAAACCATACTATATAGTTCTGGGTATTTGGTCCTTTGGGTACTCTAGGTTCATCTGGTTTGGGTTAAGGAGCACAGACAAGTCAAAAGAAAACGTCGCCAGTCGTTCTCTCATGGGCTTCTGAGTTTTCTGAAGTGGCTCCTCAGGGCTTGTTGTTGGGTTCAGGGTTGCAGGATCCTTTTTTCTTTCTGGGATGCCTGCTGTAGAGCCCTAGGCCCGGTGTAGGGTCTCTTTTGGGTCATCGGGCTCTGCCGAGGTGTCCCCGGCGCCGCCGCCGGTGCCGAGGAGTCCCAGCAATCGCAGGCTGCGTCCTCCCAGGCCCCGCCCGGCCCCGTGGGGCCACCGGTGCCCCTGGCGCCCGGCGCAGCAGGTTCCGCAGGCGCGAGGGCGATGTCTCGTTTCCTAGACAGCCCCTGAACCCTCAAGAAATATAAGTAGAATCGTGGAAGTATATAGATATAATTTATGCATGTATGCATAGAAAATAAATAAATCAATAAAACAGTAAAGTAAAGGAGCATTTTTTTGGTTCGCCCCCAGATCCTCCATGGAGGTCCCGGGGACAGAATGCTGCGCCGTGCGGGCTCCCTGTCCTCCACGGGATCGGAGGCCGCCGGAAGGGGTGAAGTGGATCTTCCTAGGGATTCCTAAACCCTAAACCCTAAACCCTAAACCCTAAACCCTAAACCCCTAAACCCCTAAACCCTAAACCCTAAACCCTAACCCCTAAACCCCTAAACCCTAAACCCTAAACCCTAAACCAAAAAACCCTAACTACGATCCCTTAAAAGGCAGATGTAGGGATTCTGAGCTTTCTGAAAAGATGGGGGGCTTCGCCTTCTGAAGCCCGGTCGGTGTTTTTTAGACCTTTCCCAGCTCAGCCAAACCCTAAACCCTAAACCCTAAACCCTAAACCCTAAACCCTAAACCCTAAACCCCTCAGACCCTGAAGGCTTCAAAGGCCCTAAACCCTTTAAGGCTACGTCCCCAGGACCTCTTGGGCCTTGGCGAAGCCGGGTTCGGCCGCGAGCAGGCGCATGCGAGGGTTTCGGTTTTCGGGGTTTCGGGGTTTCGGGGTTTCGGGGTTTCGGGGTTTCGGCGTTTCGGGGTTTCGGGGTTTCGGGGTTTTGGGTTCAGGATTTCGAGGTTTCCAGGTTTTGGGGGTTGGGGCCGACGGCGAAGTGTGCAAGGGCAAGGCCCCAAAACAGTACGAGGTGACATCGTTCGGTTTTGCTCCTGGGTATGCCTTAGGGACATTTACATGTTTCCTTCTTGCGTTTAAGAGGATCATGTTCAGAGATATTTTTCAGAAAGGTTTAAGGGGCCACCCTAGGCCCCCTTAACCTCGAGACGGCACCTTGCGCCCGAGGTGCTTGAGCGCGCCGTGCGTGGGACTTACTGGGCCTCCTTGCTCTCGGGGTGTTGGGTCTTGCTTCGAACCTGCGACTACATCACCCCGAAACCCTAAACCCTAAACCCTAAACCCTCAACCCTAAACCCTAAACACCCCTAACCCCTGAGAGCCCGATGACCCGTGCTGAGGGAGACGGCAGCCCCGGCACAGCACGTACAGATGTTCCGCAAGCTCCAGTCAATGCAGGGGCCCAAGAAGGGAAAAGTTGAGGACCCGGCGAGCCCAAAACCCCTTAATTAAGGAACACGCCTGAAGCATCCCTAAGCTATATCTAGGGATCCTTAGTATGATTTTAGGTTTGTTCCTTGATTAGGGGGTATTGGGGACCCAGCGAGCCCAAAACCCTCAATTATAATTGAGGAATACCCTGAAGCGAAACCTAAGCTTTATCCAGGGACTCTTAGTATGATTGAAGGTCTGTTCCTTATTTAAGGGGTATGGGGCTTTTTGGAGATTGCTGGGTGCCCGAATGGAATCTGAAGACAAGCCCCAAAATAGCTGTGCAAAGCCCTCAGCCTTTGCCGCAAATACTCT